TTTAGATCTAATGAGACCTGTGTACTTAACAGGCTTGAGTCGATAGGGCCAAACCTAGATCTAAGTACGGCTAGACTGGCAGTCTAGCCGTACTTAAGTACGGCTAGACTCTCAGTCTAGCCGGACTTAAGTACGGCTAGCCACTTCGTAATAATAATATTATAAATTAATAATGCCCCTCATACAGAGGCTGGCGTCTGCGCAACAAAATTAATAGTATTTTCAGAGGTATGGTAATATAGGCTTTATAAACAGGCTGAAATTTTAACCTTTTTATTGGGGGGGGGGGTTGTCTCCGCTGGCGGAAACAAAAAGGCAGTTTTAATAAATAGCATGGATATAATGGCTTGGCACTGGTGCAAAATTACAATTTAATTTTGATATTATGCTGCGTTTCGTTTCATAGGACTGGTTATACATTTCGTTGTAGCTTCGTAACAACAGTAAACAAATGTTGCAAGGGACGCTACTCTTGCCTCCGGAACTGCGTCATGCCAGGGCTCAAAGTAAATATTTTCACCAATGAAATCGATTGGGTTCCAGAGCTTGCGGCACTTCTCTCATCTCTGTGTGGAAACAATCCAAAGGTGAATCATTAAAAAAAACGGTTCCAACTGTCGTTGAAAACTGTAAATTTTATCGAATTTGCGATTCTAGGTTCAAATAAGCTTTGATATCAATGAGAAACATATATTTGTACTTAGATTATTTTGGTAGGTGACCTAGGCCTAGACTTGGCCAAGCCTGGTCATGCAGTCTTGACTTGTCTCTTCTGTGAAGGCAGGTGCGCCGAGGCGAGTTTACACCTGTGTGGTGCTAAAAGGCACCGGTGATGTTATAGTTATGGCGTTCTGTAGATTTGCGACTTGTAAATAGTGCCCGATTTGTTTTAACTTTCTATTTTAAAAAGTCATTTAGGACTTGTTATTTAATCTAGATCTAGATCTAGATCTAGATGATCTAGATCTAGATCTAGATAGTTACGTTCATTTCATTGTATTGTCTCCCACTCTTTCTCCTGTCCCTACTCCTACGTACCCTGCCTTTTTCAGTTAGTTGTCAGCTCTGATTAGATTTAGAGTCTATAAATTGTACTCGTCCGTCTCCTTTCATCTCACCCTTTGCTTCAAACTCAAACTAGATCTATAATCTAGATCTAGATCAAGTTATTGCCAAGCACTAGACTAGTTAATATTTGTTTCTCTCATACAGTAGCAGGCTATTGAAAGACTCTCAAAAGACTTGACAAGGGAGTCTACACTGTCCCTGAGATGTTCAATTTATGCTAGATTTTACTAGATCTAGATGTATCGTATCATATAATATCTCTGTCTCTCGTTTCTAAGATCCTAGATCTGAAAATGGGATGAATCAAGATTGGTTTTGGATTTTAACTTTGTGATAGTAGGCTAGTCAGTATTAGGACTTAATTTTAGATGTAGTCCTCTTCTTTGCATGTATCTGGAATCAGATTCTTTTTTGTAGTGTATGCCTTCTTCTGCAGTCACCATTAACTCTTTCACTATAGGAGGGTTTTTCTCTCCATGACCGAGCCCTCTGTGACGTACTATCTGATTCTACCTACCGTCGGACAAATTAAAGATTTTCAAGTTCAATTTTCATAATTAGCCACATGTATTATACATGGAAATAAAGGGGAAATAATTACCTATCTCAACATGTTGCTAGAAATGATCATGCTTCAGCCTGAGATTTCAGATTCCTTTATTACAATTGTAGGTATGGTTTTGAAGCAGGGTTAAGTGGAGAGCCGTGAAGCACGGCTCGTGGTAGTGAAAGAGTTAATGGGAAATTTTCACCTGTGTCATTTTTTGTTGTCATTGCTGCAATGAAACCATTCCTTGGCATTGTCTATAGCCCTAGGTTTTATTTTTATAAACAAAATTAACAGTGTCTTTCTACTCTGTATTTTATACCATATATACTACTCAATACAAGTTAGGGATCACTACAGTTTTCACAGTTTACAGTATGTTTTGAGACTGTGTTACAAACAAATATTGAGAAGTTAGGTGAGGGAGTTCATGTCATTGTAAGGAAGGGTCATCGATGTTTACAATGATGAACAGATTTGACACATGTCGTTTAATTTACCCTGCCTAGACAAGGTGAAAGGGGGCCAATTTTCTGTAAAATTGAACCTGTTTTTGACAATCACTCATGTGATTTTCAGTGAGTAGCATGGGTTAAAAACCAACTCAAAGGAATTCTCACGTCCTACACTAATGCCTGAGTGGGTTTGATGGTGCTAGGGGTATTTATTGAGGGGGAACATTAAACAATTTTTTAACAATGCCTCCAAGAAGACGTCTGAGCAACATCGACAGGGGATGAGCCCTAGCCTGGCTCCACGAAGGGATTGCTGTCTGTGAAGTGGCAAGACAGCTTGCTGTGAGTCACTCAGTGAACATCAAATGAGAGACCGGGTTGCTGCAACTAGAACTGCTGTTGAGTGAAGGAAGTCCTGACGGCCACGTTGCACGACACGACGAGAGGACCGGGAAATCGCCAGAACAGCCCTAGCAACTCGAACCTGCACTGCCCATCACACCAGACAGCAGGTGATACCCCCAGGCAACGTTGGAATCAGCAACCAGACCATTACAACAGTCCGGGTTCCACTGACACAGGCCCATCGGATTGCCCGCAGAACCTGGTTCACCCAGTACCTGAGGTGGACACACCCACAGTGGTCTACTGTGCTTTTCACGGATGAGTCCAGGTTCACATTGTCCTTCAACGATGGCAGGATCCGTGTTTGGAGGCATCGTGGTGAGCGCTTCCACGACGACTGTGTACAGGAGCATGACCTGTATGGAGGAGGCTCCGTTATGGTGTGGTGTGGGATTGGACTCAACCTCCGGACCCGCCTGCATCGCATTTGAGGCACTCTGAGGGGTATCCGCTACAGGGACGAGATTCTCCGCCCCATTGCAATTCCAGCTCTTCCGACAATGGGCCAGGGCGCAATACTCTAGGACGACAACGCCAGACCTCACCACGCTCGAGAGGTGGATGACTTCCTGCAGCAGCAGCACATGATCAGGCTTGACTGGCCTGCCTGATCACCGGGCCTTAGTCCCATTGAACGCTTGTGGAATGCTCTTGGGCGCCGAGTAAGAGACCATCAGCCACCCCCAAATAATGTGGATGAACCCTTTAACATTTTGGACCAAGAATGGCAAGACTGACATTGCGAACATTTATTCTGTCCATGAAACAAAGATGCAATTACCGTTTTCTTGCAAATGGTGGTCACACGCAATTTTGAGCCCTAATTGTTTATGACAGTTGTGATGTGAATTTTAAAAATATGGGCTACCTCTTTTGACATTTGAAATTACCCATTTTCCATTTTTTTAAAGTGCAAAATGTTGTTTGCAAAAGGTGATATGATGAATAAAGACCCCTCTCAAACAATTTTGAACCGTGTCATATTTTTCAGTTTTATGTACCATATGTGACTTTATGTGGTCCTCAACTTTTTTTGAGTAGTATAGAAGATTTTCATCTTTTCACTCCTTATGTATTAAGTTTCTTTTCTGTCCAGCAGACTGAAAATCTGTTTGTTTTACTGAACAAAAATCAAATGATAAAAAGGGTGGGCCCCTAAGTGCGTTTTTCTGTGTAAAATATGACTTGTGGATCACTGAACAAAAGTAAGGAACACTGAATCTGTATTCGGAGCTCTTTGGTTGAGAGGTTACAATGGTTGCCTCTCTTTCAATAGGTCCAGGTTTCGAATCTTGATAGCGACGGAAAATTTTCTTCTCTAAAATTGTCTTCCTTCACCTCCTTTCCTGCTCTCTAACAATGTTCTGTCATCTGCTTTCGTCTCCAATTTCTACCCCACCCTCTCATCTCCTTTGCAC